GACCAGCAGGCGTTTAGGAGTCTTGTAAGGGCGGCTTCAAGATGGGGTCCATCATGCTTCAGCATTTCGGCGAGGATTTCGTCCAGGCCTGCGGCCTTTCCATTCTTGAGGAGTCGGATGTGATGGTGATGGTGATTTGTCCAATATCGACAGGAAGAAGGTCCATGGAAGGTGCCAGGTCTTCGGCCTCGAACTGTTGGGGTGGCTCAGGTTGGTTCAGAGTATCGCGGAAGTGTTCGACCCATCGTTGGTGTTGTTCAGCTGCAGTAAGGAGGACACGTCCATTTTTGTCTCGGATTGGAACACCGCGGCCACCACGAGCCCCAGTTAGATCTCGTACAATGCGATATAAGGTTCGGGTATCGTTCCGATCGGCTGCTTCTTGGGCTTCGATGCCTTTAGCTTCGATCCATTCACGCTTTTCACGCCGGCAGCTGCGTTTGACCTGTCGGGCGAGGTCTTGGTAGGTGGCCATGGCCCTCTCACGCTGGTGAGTCAAAGGCCACCTGGTCCCGAACTGACTTTGCCAAGCGACGTTGATCTGTAAGTTCCCATGAACGGTCGGAGATCCAGCGCTCCTTAAAGCCTCCCCGTCGGTGACCAATCTTCAATTCTGCTGCACCGACCACAGCCTCTTTTAGCTCATCCCAGAGTGTATCTGGATTTTTGTTGTTATTTCCTTCCGCAGCAAGGAGCTGGAAGCGGTTTCTCAATTCGAGTTGAAATTCTGCTGCCATATTTGCGTCTTTTAGGCGTTGAACGTTAAAAGGACTTGGTCGCTGCAGTCGTGGTTGGAGGCGCTTCAGGTGAAGTTTACATTTGGCAATTAGCAGATAGTGATCAGAGTCAATGTCGGCTCCACGCCACACTCTAACATCGCTAATGGTGGATGCCCAGCGGGATGATATGCAGATGTAGTCGATCTCGCTTGTATATCCGCCACCGGGGGCCTTCCACGTCGCCTTGTGTATCCGATTGTGGCCGAAGAAGGTGTTCTTGATGGTCAGCCGGTTTGCCACACAGAACCAGATCAGCCGCCCACCGTTTTCATTTGTCAATGCTGCAATTCCAAACGGGCCGATAGCTGATTCCAGGCCGTCCCGGTTACTGCTTATTTACGCGTTGAAATCTCCGCCCACAATCAGCAAATCATGGATCCTGGAGCATCGCATAGAAACCATCTTGTCAGTATCGTCAGCCTCTTCTGTTGGAGCGTATACTTGAAGAATTGTGACTTTCACATGCCTAGCTTGGAAACGAGCCAAGATTAGGTGGTCTAAAATGGGCTTCCAGGCCAGCAATAATGTTGTTGCATGTCGCAAGAGGATGAAGCCCACGCCATGTGCATGGTCTTGGGCATGGCCAGAGTAGAGCACCATCTTTCCATCACTAACCATCTTCCCGCTTCCTGCCCATTGCATTTCTGAGATGCCCAAGATGTCCATATGGTAAGAGTCAAATTCATATAGAAGCTGGGCCAATTTACCTGTTTGGTACAGAGTCCATACATTCCATATTCCATAGTCGATAATGAAATTCACTTGCTGTTTCCGTAGCAGTTGGAGTTTTTACAGGGTGGGGTTGCTAGCCCCACGCCCAACCCTCCTCCTTTCTCATCCGGGCTTGGGACCGGCAATAGCAGAGTTCAATAAGAACCTCCTCAAAACTGACTTTAATGGCAGATACAATATTTTATTTAAGCAAAGAACTCAAACAGTTAATAATAATAATAATAATAATAATAATAATAGATTGCATTTATATAGCGCTTTTCAGGACCCCTCAAAGCGCTTT